GGGGCGTACTGGCCATCTGGCATTTCAGGAAAATGCCACATGGCCTGGTCAATTTTTTGCCTAGTGGGCCTGTCTAACATTAGTTTTCAGAGCAAAATTATCTAAGAATGGGGACCGTAATATATATTTTTTGCAGTTGTGGGTGCCTCAAGGGAAAAAATGGGCCATTTACATGTGGACTATACATGCTTGGGAATGTGTTTTTAATTCATGTGTGTGTGTGTATGAGACCATGTCTGAATATTATTCTCCAAGTGCATGTCCATGAGTTTGATTATAATTGTGTTGCTGTGTACCGATGTCAGCTTGTGTGTGTGTGTGTGTGTGTGTGTGTGTGTGTGTGTGTGTGTGTGTGTGTGTGTGTGTGTGTGTGTGTGTGTATATACTGAACAAAAATAAAAACGCAACATGTAAAGTGTTCGTCCCATGTTCCATGAGCTGAAATAAAAGATCGCAGAAATTTTCCATATGCACAAAAAGCTTATTTCGATAAAATGTTATGCACAAATTTGTTTACATCTCTGTTAGTGAGCATTTCTTCTCCTTTGACAAGATAATCCGTCCACCTGACAGGTGTGGCATATCAAGAAGCTGATTAAACAGCATGATCATTATACAGGTGCACCTTGTGCTGGGGGCAATAGTCCACCCTAAAATGTGCAGTTTTGTCACACAACACAATGCCACAGATGTCTCAAGTTCTGAGGTAGCGTGCAATTGACATGCTGACTGCAGGAACGTCCACCAGAGCTGTTGCCAGAGAATGTAATGTACATTTTTCTACCATAAGCCGTTTTAGAGAATTTGGCAGTACGTCCAACCGGCCTCAAAACCGCAGACCATGTGTAACCACGCCAGGCCAGGACCTCCACATCCAGCTTCTCCACCTGCGGGATCGTCTGAGACCAACCACCCGGACAGCCGAGTAGTATTTCTGTATAGCCCTTTTGTGGGGAAAAACTAATTCTGATTGGCTGGGCCTTGGCCCCCAGTGGGTGGGCCAGTCTCCCAAGGGGTGAGCCTATGCCCTCCCAGGCCCACCCATGGCTGCGCCCCTGCCCAGTCAAGTGAAGTCCATAGATTAGGGCCTAAGTTATTCATTTCAATTGACTGATTTCCTTATATGAACTGTAACTCAGTAAAATCATTGAAATTGTTGCATGTTGCGTTTATATTTTTGTTCAGCGTATATACAGTGCATTAGGAAAGTATTCAGACCCCTTGACATTTTCCACATTTTGTTACATTACAGACCTATTCTACAATGGATTAAATAAATACAAATCTTCATAAATCTACATACAATACCCCATAATGACAACGTGAAAACAGGTTTTTAGAAATGTTTGCAAATGTATAAAAAAAAAGACACTGAAATACCTTATTTACATAAGTATTCAGACCCTTTGCTATGAGACTCGAAATTGAGCTCAGATGCATCCTGTTTCATTTTTACATTTACATTTTTTTGTTTTGTTTCCATTGATCAACCTTGAGATGTTTCTACAACTTGGAGTCCACCTGTGGTAAATTCAATTGATCGGACATGATTTGGAAAGGCACACACCTATCTATATAAGGAATTGTCTGTAGCGCTCCGAGGCAGGATTGTGTTGAGGCACAGATCTGGGGAAGGGTACCAAAACATTTCTGCAGCATTGAATGTCCCCAAGAACACAGTGGCCTCCATCATTCTTAAATGGAAGAAGATTGGAACCACCAAGACTCTTCCTGGAGCTGGCCGCCCGGCCAAACTGAGCAATCGGGGGAGAAGGGCCTTGGTCAGGGAGGTGACCAAGAACCCAATGGTCACTCTGACAGAGCTTCAGAGTTCCTCTGTGGAGATTGGAGAACCTTCCAGAAGGACAACCATCTCTGCAGCACTCCACCAATCAGGCCTTTATGGTAGAGTGGCCAGACAGAAGCCACTCCTCAGTAAAAGGCACATGACAGCCCGCTTGGAGTTTGCCAAAAGGCACCTAAAGGACACAGACCATGAGAAACAAGATTATCTGGTTGAAGAAACCAAGATTGAACACTTTGGCCTGAATGCGAAGCGTCACTTCTGGAGGAAACCTGGCACCATCTCTACGGTGAAGCATGGTGGTGGCAGCATCATGCTGTGGGGATGTTTTTCAGTGGCAGGGATTGGGAGACTAGTCAGGATCGAGGGAAAGATTAACAGAGCAAAGTACAGAGAGATCCTTGATGAAAACCTGCTCCAGAGCACTCAGGACCTCAGACTGGGCCAAAGGTTCACCTTCCACCAAGACAATGCAGGAGTGGCTTCTGGAAAAGTCTCTGAATGTCCTTGAGTGGCCCAGCCAGAGCTCGGACTTGAACCCGATCTAACATCTCTGGAGAGACATGAAAATAGCTGTGCAGCGATGCTCCCCATCCAACCTGACAGACCTTGAGAGGATCTGCAGAGAAGAATGGGAGAAACGCCCCAAATACAGGTGTGCCAAGCTTGTAGCATCATAACCAATAAGACTTGAGGCTGTAATCGCTGCCAAAGGTGCTGTAATCGCTGACAAAGGTGCTTCAACAAAGTACTGAGTAAAGAGTCTGAATACTTATGTAAATGTGTTATTTCAATTTTTTTATTTTTAATAAATTAGCAAAAATTTATAAAAACCTGTTTATACTTTGTCATTATGGGGTATTGTGTGTGGATTGAGGAGGGGGATTTTTTAAATTTTTTTAATCCATTTTAAAATAAGTCTGTAACGTAACAAAATGTGGAAAAGGTCAAGGGGTCTGAAAACTTTCCGAATGCACTGTATATACCCTAGTGTCCTCCTTGGCACTCAAAGGGTCAGCTGAGATGGTATTAAACTTCTGAAGAGACACTAGCCAATTAGGGGGAGCCACTTAACATCCCACAGGCAGACAGACAGACACATACACACATGCCTGCACACACAGGCACGTCCGCACATGCGAACACACACACACACACTTCCTTTATACAAAATGTTATGTCCGCTTATTGACAGACAGCAGTTGTCCATGCCTCTGCTTTTCTAACCTTAGCTCATCATCTTTCTCTCAGTTTCCTTCTCTCCATCTCCTCTATTAGTCACCACTAGGGGGCGCTGCTATCCTTTCTTTGCCTCATGTTCTTATGACAGTTTCTATTACAGCCTAACCCTTTATGGAGGGCCATCGAGGGCCTAGTGTCTGCTGGTTTTTCTTACTAATCAGTGACCTTAATTCATCAATCAAGCACAAGGGAGGAGTGAAAACCCGCAGACCCTCGGCCCCCTGTGGAATGAGTTTGACACGTGCATTAGTCACTGTTGTTTTGCATCAGATCTTATGATGCAATGGGAGAAAAACATACATATCCCATACAAAACATATCCTAGTAAACTCTAGGCCAGGGATCATCAACTAGATGGATGGTCAGGGGGCCGGAACATAATTAGAAATATACTGAACAAAAATATAAACGCAACATGCAACAATTTCAAATATTTTACTGAGTTACAGTTCAAATAAGGAAATCAGTAAATTAAAATAAATTCATTAGGCCCCAATCTATGGATTTCACATGACTGGGCAGGAGTGCAGCCATGACTGGGGAGCCAAGCCCAGCCAATCAGAATGAGTTTTTCCCTGACAAAAGGGCTTTATTACCGACAGAAATACTCCCCCACCTCCCCTCAGACGATCCCGCAGGTGAAGAGGCCGGATGTGGAAGTCCTGGGCTGGCGTGGTTACACGTGGTCTGCGGCTGTGAGGCCGATTGGACGTACTGCCAAATTCTCTAAAACAACGTTGGAGGCAGTTTATGGTAGAGAAATGAACATTCAATGTAATTTGTAGACTGTAAATTCACTGCAAGAAGCCCAAACAAATATATTTGACTAAAACAATCATTTCAAACCTTTGTGGTATCCCAGGAGGTCTACCCCGGGGGTTGGTGATAGAGGGGAGGTACGTGCCGTGACGTTGGCTCCCTCTGCTGGGAGTACATGGGCTGGGCACCCCGACGCTGATGGACCCAAGTAGATGTAATTAGGGGAGAGTGCCCACCAGCGGTGCAGGCCACATAAAGGAAGCACCGTGGCACACCGCGAGGAAGACAGAGAGAGAGGCAAGGAGTGAGCCTACGGAGGGGAACAAAGCTCCTGGAGGCACAGAGTCGAATCTGAGAAGAAGGTACCGAGCCAAACCTAAGTACTTTTGTTGTTCTGTTTATTTTGTTGCCTAGTAAAGTCGTGTTTTCCTGACTAGAACCTCCCCGCCTCTGTGTTCATCTCTGCACGCTCAACCCAACACCCCACGGTTTACCACACCTTGTTTACATGTGTATATGATCACACATACTGTATCTATTATGTGTGGGAATACTTTGGAACAGATTTCCTAAATTAAAATCACTTGGAGCTGATTTGCTGGTGTTTTTAAGAGTATTTATTTACATTTACATTTTAGTCATTTAGCAGACGCTCTTATCCAGAGCGACTTACAGTTAGTGAGTGCATACATTATTATTTTTTATAATTTTTTCATACTGGCCCCCGTGAGAATCGAACCCACAACCCTGGCGTTGCAAACGCCATGCTCTACCAACTGAGCTACATCCCTGCCGGCCATGCCCTCCCCTACCCTGGACGACGCTGGGCTAATTGTGCACCGCCCCATGGGTCTCCCGGTCGCGGCCGGGTACGACAGAGCCTGGATTCGAACCAGGATCTCTAGTGGCACAGCTAGTACTGCGATGCAGTGCCTTAGACCACTGCGCCACTCGGGAGACTATGTCCCCTTCCCCACCAAAAAAAGAACTTGGGGGGCCAAATACAATCATCCGCAGGCTGGGCCGCCAGTTGGGGAACCCTGCTCTAGGGTCCTATAAAATTATTGATAGTGTGCACTAAGCTTGCCCGCTCTCCCTGACCTCATTATGACTGTGTAATGTAGTTCATACCCTCAGTATGACTCGGTATTGTAGTTCATACCCTCAGTATGACTGGGTAGTGTAGTTCTTACCCACTGTGCTTCATGTTGGGGGGTTTGTCCATGCGGACGGCTAGTTTGATCTTCAGCTCTGCGTCCTGACTGTTCTTTGACACCACCATCTTGTGAAGCTCTGCCTGCTTGGGTCCGTTGGTGGTGGGGTTCAGGATCACCTGGGAATGGGAGGGAGGGAGGGAGGGGAGAGAGAGAGGGGGGGGAGGGAGGGAGGGGAGGAGGCGGAGAGGAGGGAGAGGGGAGGGGAAGGGGAGGGAGGGAGGGGGAAGGGACGAGGGAGGGGAAGGAAGGGGGACGGGTAGGGGGCGGGGGAGGGGAGGGAGGGGAGGGGAAGGGATGGGGAGGGAGGGGACGGGAGGGGGGAGGGGAAGGAAGAGGGAAGGGCGAGGAGAGAGGGAGGGGAAGGGCGGAGGGAAGGAGAGGGAGGGGAGGGAGAGGGAGGGAGGGGGGAGGGGAGGAGGGGGGGGAAGGGGGGGAGGAGGGGAAGGGGGGAGGGGGGGAAGGGGGAGGAGGGAGGGAGGGGAGGGGAGGGAGGAAGGGGGAAGGAGGAGGGGAAAGGGGGAGGGAGAGAAGGGGAAGGGGGGGGAGAAGGGGAAGGGGGGGGAGGAGGAGGAGGGGAAGGGAGGGGAGGGAAGGGGAGGGAGGGAGGGGAAGGAAGGGGAAGGGAGGGAAGGGGGGGAGGGAAGGAAGGGGAAGGGGAGGGGGGACAGGGAAGAGGGGAAGGGGAAGGGAGGGAGGGGGAGGAAGGGGAAGGGAGGGAGGGGGAAGGAAGGGAGGGAGGGGAGAAGGGGAAGGAGGAGGGAAGGAGGGAGGGAGGGAGGGGAAGGGAGGGAGGGGGAAGGAAGGGAGGGAGGGGGAAGGGAAGGGAGGGAGGGGGAAGGAAGGGAGGGGGGGGAGAGGGAGGGGAGGGGAGGAGGGAAGGGGAAGGGAGGGAGGGGAAGGGGAAAGGAGGGAGGGGAAGGGAGAGAGAGGGAGGGGAAGGGAGAGAGGGGAAGGGAGAGAGGGGAAGGGAGAGAGGGGAAGGGATGGAAGGGAAGGGAGAGAGGGGAAGGGAGAGAGGGGAAGGGAGAGGAAGGGAGAGAGGGGAAGGGAGAGAGGGGAAGAATGGGGGGTGACGAAGGGAGAGGGCACAGGAGAGATGAGAAAAAATAGAGAATTTGTAATTTTACAGAAGGTGTAGTAATGATGGCTTCTGCAAAAAGATGAACAGATTCGCACGTGCGTACACACACCCCGCAAGATACAAAAACAGTGTCTCTCAGACAGTTAGTCAGTGACTGACACATCCATATTCCGTGACTCTGATAGGAACAGACAGGTGAAGGACATCAGAAAACCATGGCTGTCTGGGGGAAGAGAGTAGAGAGGGTGAGGAAAGAGAGAGAGAGATGGGGAGGGGGGAGGGGGTGCCACAGACAGAGAGAGGCTGAGGAGAGAGATGGGGAGGGGGAGGGGGTGCCACAGACAGAGAGAGGCTGAGGAGAGAGATGGGGAGGGGGAGGGGGGTGCCACAGACAGAGAGAGGCTGAGGAGAGAGATGGGGAGGGGGAGGGGGTGCCACAGACAGAGAGAGGCTGAGAAGAGAGATGGGGAGGGGGAGGGGGTGCCACAGACAGAGAGAGGCTGAGGAGAGAGATGGGGAGGGGGAGGGGGTGCCACAGACAGAGAGAGGCTGAGGAAAGAGAGGGAGAGATGGGGAGGGGGATGGGGATCAAATCAAATTGTATTTGTCACATACGCCAAATACAACAGGTGTAGACCTTACAGTGAAATGCTTACTTACAAGCCCTTAACCAACAATGCAGTTTTAAGAAACATCTGTGTTAAGTAAAAAATAAAAATATATAATTAAAGAGCAGCAGTAAAATAACAGTAAAACCTTGAGACTTCCTTAATATTAGATTTCGTGTACCAGCTGTTGTTTACAAATACACACAGACCGCCACCCCTTGTCTTACTGGAGGCAGCTGTTCTATCTTGCCGATGCAGCGTATAGCCCGGCAGCTGTATGTTATCCATGTCATCGTTCAGCCACGACTCAGTGAAACATAAGATATTACAGTTTTTAATGTCCTGTTGGTAGGATATTCGTGATCATAGCTTGTCTATTTTGTTATCCAATGATTGTACGTTGGCTAATAGGACTGATGGTAGAGGCAGATTACCCACTCGCTATCGGATCCTTACAAGGCACCCCGACCTACGTCCCCGATATCGCCGCGAATGACAGGGATTTGGGCCTTGTCGGGTGTCTGAAGTAAATCCTTCGTGTCCGACTCATTAAAGAACAAATCTTTGTCCAGTACGAGGTGAGTAATCGATGTCCTGATATCCAGAAGCTCTTTTCGGTCATAAGAGACGGTGGCAGAAACATTATGTACAAAATAAGTTACAAATAACGTGAAAAAACACACAATATAGCACAATTGGTTAGGAGCCCGTAAAACGGCAGCCATCTCCTCCGGCGCCATTGCTATAGTGATAGAAAGAAGCGAGAGGGGGCTCTTTCTGTACAATAACACCTACAGCTCTTGCACATTCAATGCAATGCATGTCTCAAACATCTCAATGGCATCCATGTCAGGGGAAAAACTAGCCTAGGTACATGACTGCTTGGGCTACATTGTTACATTGCCAAGACAATGATTGATTGGGTCATGCTAATTGCTAGTATCTAATATTGCTAGTACATTATATCAATAGTGGTTGATATTGATTGTGACTCATATCAATAGTGACTGATATCAATAGTGAAAGATATTGATGTAAATTATATGAATAATGATTGATACTGATAGTGACTGATATAAATAAAAATAGGTTGATGTACAGTGGGGAGAACAAGTATTTGATACACTGCCGATTTTGCAGGTTTTCCTACTTACAAAGGATGTAGAGGTCTGTAATTTTTATCATAGGTACACTTCAACTGTGAGAGACGGAATCTAAAACAAAACTCCAGAAAATCACATTGTATGATTTTTAAGTAATTCATTTGCATTTTATTGCATGACATAAGTATTTGATCACCTACCAACCAGTAAGAATTCCGGCTCTCACAAACCAGTTCGTTTTCTCCTGTTCTCCACTCATTTCCTGTATTAACTGCACCCGTTTGAACTCGTTACCTGTATAAAAGACACCTGTCCACACACTCAATCAAACAGACTCCAACCTCTCCACAATGGCCAAGACCAGAGAGCTGTGTAAGGACATCAGGGATAAATTGTAGACCTGCACAAGGCTGGGATGGGCTACAGGACAATAGGCAAGGAGCTTGGTGAGAAGGCAACAACTGTTGGCGCAATTATTAGAAAATTGAAGAAGTTCAAGATGACGGTCAATCACCCTCGGTCTGGGGCTCCATGCAAGATCTCACCTCGTGGGGCATCAATGATCATGAGGAAAGTGAGGGATCAGCCCAGAACTACACGGCAGGACCTGGTCAATGACCTGAAGAGAGCTGGGACCACAGTCTCAAAGAAAACCATTAGTAACACACTACGCCGTCATGGATTAAAATCCTGCAGCGCACGCAAGGTCCCCCTGCTCAAGCCAGCGCATGTCCAGGCCCGTCTGAAGTTTGCCAATGACCATCTGGATGATCCAGAGGAGGAATGGGAGAAGGTCATGTGGTCTGATGAGACATAAATAGAGCTTTTTGGTCTAAACTCCACTCGCCGTGTTTGGAGGAAGAAGGATGAGTACAACCCCAAGAACACCATCCCAACCATGAAGCATGGAGGTGGAAACATCATTCTTTGGGGATGCTTTTCTGCAAAGGGGACAGGACGACTGCACCGTATTGAGGGGAGGATGGATGGGGCCATGTATCGCGAGATCTTGGCCAACAACCACCTTCCCTCAGTAAGAGCATTGAAGATGGGTCGTGGCTGGGTCTTCCAGCATGACAACGACCCGAAACACACAGCCAGGGCAACTAAGGAGTGGCTCCGTAAGAAGCATCTCAAGGTCCTGGAGTGGCCTAGCCAGTCTCCAGACCTGAACCCAATAGAAAATCTTTGGAGGGAGCTGAAAGTCCGTATTTCCCAGCGACAGCCCCGAAACCTGAAGGATCTGGAGAAGGTCTGTATGGAGGAGTGGGCCAAAATCCCTGCTGCAGTGTGTGCAAACCTGGTCAAGACCTACAGGAAACGTATGATCTCTGTAATTGCAAACAAAGGTTTCAGTACCAAATATTAAGTTCTGCTTTTCTGATGTATCAAATACTTATGTCATGCAATAAAATGCAAATTAATGACTTAAAAATTTATACAATGTGATTTTCTGGATTTTTGTTTTAGATTCCGCCTCTCACAGTTGAAGTGTACCTATGATAAAAATTACAGACCTCTACATCCTTTGTAAGTAGGAAAACCTGCAAAATCGGCAGTGTATCAAATACTTGTTCTCCCCACTGTATGTGCTGGTGTCTTACCCGTCCCAGCTCCTTGTCTTCCAGAGCTAGTACCCCTGTGCTCTCTGTGAACAGCTTCACTTTGACCATGGGTAACGGGTGTGTCGTCATGAAGTCCCCCTGAGTGCCCCACCTGAAAGACAAGATTCCACCCATCAGGATTAAACATGCATAGGACTACAATTGTTGCGTAACTAAGAGCTGATATTAAGCACCATATAGGTATTTGTGTATATTCAGTAATCAAAGAGTTAAGGGAAAAAAGACAGTCAAAATATCACGTCCATTTCAATTTGCCACATGCGCCGAATACAACAGGGGTAGACCTTACAGTGAAATGCTTACTTACAAGCCCTTAACCAACAATGCAGTTAAGAAAAAAAGCATTAACTAAAAAATAGATAACTAAAAAATAAAAAATAATTAAAGCAGCAGTAAAATAAAATAACAGTAGGGAAGCAGAGTCAATGTGCGGGGGCACCGTTTAGTTGAGGTAATTGAGGTAATATGTACATGTGGGTAGAGTTAAAGTGACTACGCATAAATAATAAACAGAGTAGCAGCAGCGTAAAAGTGTGGGTGGGGTGGGGTGGGGGGGGACAATGCAAATAGTCTGGGTAGCCATGATTAGCTGTTCAGGAGTCTTATGGCTTGGGGGTAGAAGCTGTTAAGAAGCCTTTTGGACCTAGACTTGGCGCTCCAGTACCGCTTGCCGTGCGGTAGCAAAGAGAACAGTCTATGACTAGGGTGGCTGGAGTCTTTGACAATTTTGAGGGCCTTCCTCTGACACCGCCTGGTATAGAGGTCCTGGATGGCAGGAAGCTTGGCCCCAGTGATGTACTGGGCCGTATGCACTACCCTCTGTAGTGCCTTGCGGTCGGAGGCCGAGCAGTTGCCATACCAGGCGGTGATGCAACCAGTCAGGATGCTCTCGATGGTGCAGCTGTAGCACTTTTGAGTATCCGAGGACCCATGACAAATCCTTTCTGTCTCCTGAGGGGGAATAGGCTTTGTCGTGCACTCTTCATGACTGTCTTGGTGTGTTTGGACCATGACAGTTTGTTAGTGATGTGGACACCAAGGAACTTGAAGCTCTCAACCTGTTCCACTACAGCCCTGTCGATGAGAATGGGGTCGTGCTCAGTCCTCTTTTTTCCTGTAGTCCACAATCATCTCCTTTGTCTTGATCTCGTTGGGAGAGGTTGTTCTCCTGGCACCACATGGCCAGGTCTCTGACCTCCTCCCTATAGGCTGTCTCATCGTTGTCGGTGACTGTTGTGTCATCTGCAAACTTAATGATGGTGTTTGAGTCGTGCCTGGCCATGCAGTCATGAGTGAACAGGGAGTACAGGAGGGGACTGAGCACGCACCCCTGAGGGGCCCCCGTGTTGAGGATCAGCATGGCAGATGTGTTGTTACCTACCCTTACCACCTGGGGGCGGCACGTCAGGAAGTTCAGGATCCAGTTGCAGAGGGAGGTGTTTAGTCCCAGCATCCTTAGCTTAGTGATGAGCTTTGAGGGCACTATGGTGTTGAACGCTGAGCTGTAGTCAATGAATAACATTCTCACGTATGTGTTCCTCTTGTCCAGGTGGGAAAGGGCAGTGTGGAGTGCAATAGAGATTGCATCATCTGTGGATCTGTTGGGGCGGTATGCAAATTGGAGTGGGTCTAGGGTTTCTGGGATAATGGTGTTGATGTGAGCCATGACCAGTTTTTCAAAGCACTTCATGGCTACAGACGTGAGTGCTACGGGTCTGTAGTCATTTAGGCAGGTTATCTTAGTGTTCTTGGACACAGGGACTACGGTGGTCTGCTTGAAACATGTTGGTATTACAGACTCAGACAGGGACATGTTGAAAATGTCAGTGAAGACAATTGCCAGTTGGTCAGCGCATGCTCGGACTACACGTCCTGGTAATATGTCTGTGAATGTTGACCTGCTTAAAAGTCTTACTCACATCGGCTACGGAGAGCGTGATCACAGTCATCCGGAACAGCTGATGCTCTCATGCATGCTTCAGTGTTGCTTGCCTCGAAGTGAGCTTAGAAGTAATTTAGCTTGTCTAGTAGGCTCGTGTCACTGGGCAGCTCGCAGCTGTGCTTCCCTTTGTAGTCTGTAAAAGTTTGCATGCCCTGCCACATCCGACCAGCGTCGGAGCCAGTGTAGTACGATTCAATATTAGTCCTGTATTGACTCTTTACCTGTTTCATGGTTCGTCGGAGGGCATAGCGGGATTTCTTATAAGCGTCCGGGTTAGAGTCCCGCTCCTTGAAAAAGCGGCAGCTCTTCCCTTTAGCGCAGTGCGGACGTTGCCTGTAATCCATGGCTCCTGGTTGGGGTATGTAAGTACGGTCACTGTGGGTACGACGTCATCGATGCACTTATTGATGAAGACAGTGACTGATGTGGTGTACTCCTCAATACCATCAGAAGAATCCCAGAACATATTCCAGTCTGTGCTAGCAAAACAGTCCTGTAGCTTAGCATCTGCGTCATCTGACCACTTCCTTATTAACCGAGTCACCGGTGCTTCCTGCTTTAGTTTTTGCTTATAAGCAGGAATCAGGAGGATAGAATTATCGTCAGATTTGCCAAATGGAGGGCGAGGGAGAGCTTTGTACACGTCTCTGTGTGTGGAGTAAAGGTGGTCTAGAGTTTTTTTCCCTCTGGTTGCACATTTAAGATGCTGGTAGAAATGAGGTAGAACGGTTTCCCTGCATTAAAGTCCCCGGCCACTAGGAGCGCTGCCTCTGGATGAGCGTTTTCCTGTTTGCTTATGGCCTTATACAGCTCACTGAGTGCAATCTTAGTGCCAGCATCGGTTTGTGGTGGTAAATAGACATGAGATACTCTACCTTAGGCGAGCAAAACTTTGAGACTTCCTTAGTATTAGATTTCGTGCACCAGCTGTTGTTTACAAATATACACAGACCGCCACCCCTTGTCTTACCAGAGTCAGCCGTTCTATCCTGCCGATGTAGCGTATATCCCACCAGCAGTAGGTTATCCATGTCGTCGTTCAGCCACGACTCGGTGAAACATAAGATATTACCGTTTTTAATGTCACACTGGTAGGATTTTCTTGATCTTAGGTCGTCCATTTTGTTATCCAATGATTGTACGTTGGCTAATAGGATTGATGGAAGAGGCAGTTTACTCGCTCGCCGTCGGATCCTTACAAGGCACCCCTACCTATGTCCACGATATCTCAGTCTCTTTCTAATGCGAATGACGGGGATTTGGGCCTTGTCGGGTGTCTGTAGAATATCCTTCGCATCCGACTCATTGAAGAAAACATATTTGTCCAATACGAGGTGAGTAATCGCTGTCCTGATATCCAGAAGCTATTTTTGGTCATAAGAGACGGTGGCAGAAACATTATGTAAAGAATAAATTACAAATAACGTGAAAAAACACACATAATAGTACAATTGGTTAGAGGGCCGTAAAACGGCAGCCTTCTCCACCCTTGTACCCATTATCTTGCTGCCAATAACACATTGTGGGTGCTCACAGACCAAAGACTCTATAATTGTATTACCATAGAAGAGTGAAACCTTTCTATCCCCCTTTTATTCCGTCACACAACGCTTCCTCTTTCTACTGGAGTGGCAACCCAGTGAATGTCCGGTGAGGAGTGGTGCCTCCCATTATGCCTGGGAGTTGTTGAAAAGTAACTCTGGAATTGATTTCGCAGGGGAAATAGAAAATGTTCAGATGTGTGCAGTCACCACTCACTCAGCTTCTAGACGAGAGAATGGCAGTGGCAAAGTTTTCTATGAACATCAGTGTGTGTGTGTGTGTGTGTGTGTGTGTGTGTGTGTGTGTGTGTGTGTGTGGTGCTTCACCTCTTCCTCCACACGGCTGACTGTATCACATGGCATTTTGTGGGCCTATATCTAAAGATGTGTGTTGTTCTTTTACAGCTACAAAAGCTCTGTTGTTTCCTTTCTTCATGGTTATACAGCAATCATGAATGATGACTCGGCCCTTATGTTTCATACTCAGCGAGTGCCCAGTCTAGTCATTTTATTCCATACCCAGTGAGTACCCAGTCTAGTCAGTGTAGGTCTGTACTCTACTGGAAGCTTCTGATGTGGGTTCAAGGTTGAGGATGAGCATGAGCATGATGGGTCGTTCAGGTATCACACTGCACACAAACTGGTTGAATCTTGTTCCCACTTCATTTCAACAAAAAAAACAATGTGATGACGTTAAATCATAGTGGAAAAGTGATTGGATTTGCAAAAAGTCATCTATGTAAAGGGATTTCAGGAATGTCTGTCTTTTACCCTGACTCCAATGACATGGTTAAAATGTTTTTGGTTTTACAATTTAATATGTATCAAAACTAGCATTGACCTGAAGTCTGTGCCCAGTGGGATAGCATCTGCACGACGGTTCACGACTGTCTGTTAGTGTGTGTGTGTGTTTGTGTATGTTCAGTTGCATACATGCATGGACTCAGAATCCTGAATGACCCCTTGCTTCTCAAGGACAGCGGGAATCCAATGTAGCTAAAAAATAAAAAAAATCCCAGTTGCCAAGGCAACGTGTGGAATGCGTTCAAAACTGTCTGTCCCTCAAGTTGCGAGAGACAAAATAAATATGAACTGTTAATTCAGAGGAGGGTAAAGCCAAAGGGAAATTCAAAACAAGAAGTGGCTATTGTTTGCCTCGTGTTATTTCTATCACAGTACACAAAGAAAATGGACTGGAGATAACCCTTAGCAGACTTTACCCGACACGGTTCTGTCTTTGTTCGCCTCTCTTAGGAAAGCGCACAAGTCAACAGTTAAGTTTGCCATGTGAGGGAGGTTAACTATGTTAGCTATATTTACTTAAGGCGTTTTCTGTCTCCGATGCATTATCAGATCTGAAGAGGAATAAAATAGCAGCAATGACGGACCCGGCTAGTAAAACATTGACTCCATTTCTTCCTTGAAAAGAGAGCAAGACTAGCGAGTGTGTGGGAAGGAAGGTATTTCCCCATCTCTGCTGAAGGACAAGCACTGTCAGTCTATGTTTCAAATACTTAGAAATGCACCGATTCATTTTCAGTCAAGTAAACTGCCGTCAAAACCAAGACGCAAGACAATGAAAAATCTGTTATATCTCGCTGTCAGCCTACGCAGAGGCATATAATGACTTCAAATTGAATGGAGCCTTGAACGGTAAGGAAAAGGATCTAAAAATGTCCTTAAGAATGTGTAATGATTCTGTAATAGACAGTGCTATGGACACATGGACTGGCTGTCCATGAGATTATGACAAAAAATATTACTACATACTTTGACTTTATTTTGGTCATGATAGGATAAGACAGTTGTACGAAGGCCATGTACAAAGTTATGTTATTCAAGAATCAAATGGTATGTCATTAATTAAAATTACCATTAAATTGAACAGCAAGTAATCTTCCAGATTGTGGCTTGAAGGCCATGTTTTTCTGGTTTCTGGGCTAATGAAGATGGTATATTGTAGTGACAGGTACTGGAGAGCACTCACGGTCTGAGCTCTGGGAAATTCTCCACCACTGAGAGTCTGAAAGGGCAGTCTTATTAATGCATTACCAGACTGCTGCCACCACCATTCTAATAACCACGCCGAAATCAACGTCCAGACGCACGGCAACAAGCAATGACTCACTGTAACCTCATCATCAACAAGCAGACATTTAACTTCTGCTGGAGGCTGTGAGACAGTAGCAGTGATGTGATCGGAAGGATAATGCGGTGCCAAGTCACACAACAGAGGCTGTTAACTGTATCCCTCAGCTTTGTGGATGGGATGATATGAACATTAGGTGACCAGAAGTCTCAAGAGCCTCAAATATTTTCAATTTAAGCTTCGGCGGACAAGACGATAAATGTTCAGCTAAAAGAGGTGGAATGATAAAAACTATTAAACTAGTGTTCCCACAGACACCATGTTTAAAGGGCAAGCAGCAGGACTTCACCTAATACCAGACTTTAATATGGCCAGCGCCTGGGATTCATCTTAATTAATTTCCATTTCAATCAGGTGGGGGAATATGGAGGACTAAAAGTGCCACAATTAAATAAATAAATACACCATTAAATAATTACTTAAATGTGTCATTAATTAATTAAAATTAGAATTAAATACATAAATGTGTTATTAAATGTGTCATTAATTAATTCAAATACCGATTCATTTTATGTAAAATACATATATAATAATTTCACTATTTACATTTACATTTCATGGTCCTGCGTTGGAGTGCTTCCTGAATTACTTAAAACTGTCAAACTGACCCATCAAAAGTTGGTAGGCGGAACCTAACGCCTGATTGGTTACCCTCTGCATCAAGCCAAGACAAATCAATTCCGGATAATGTCAGCAGGTCCTGCTTCTACATCCTCTGCTAAGTTTAAAATGTCTCTAACCAACTCCCTGGAAAGTTCACGGAGATCCTCCATTGTCTCTATCCAGGTTGGCCTACTCTACTTCAGACCAAAGCAATGGATCAGACTAGATTCGCGTTAGCCCCGCCCACTGACTTTGATGGGTCAGTTTGACAGTTTTAAGTAATTCATGAATCACTGCAATGCAGGATCATGAAATGTAAATGTAAATAGTGAAATAATTATATATGTATTTTACATAAAATGAATCGGTATTTGAATTAATTAATGATACATTTAATTACACATTTATGTATTTAATTCTAATTTGAATTAATTAATGACACATTTAATTAATTAATGACACATTTAAGTAATTATTTAATGGTGTATTTATTTATTTAATTGTGGCACTTTTAGTCCTCCATAGGGGAACACTGAGCAAGTGTGTTAAAGAATACACTCCAACACCTCATTATAACCAGCTATGTAGGCTACTACAAGCCACATCTAGATTGGGTAGGCCAGGGGCGCAACTTTCACTGGGGACAGGGGGGACATGTCCCCCCCACATTCTGAAATTGCATTTTTGTCCCACACGTTTTATCATTGGAATGTGATACAAAACAATGCAACGGTGTGCTTTAGGACCATGCGGACACGTCCGAGCGTTATTTATCTGACAAAAAAATTACATGAAATGTCCCCCCCCCCACTTCTAAAACCAAAGTTGCGCCCCTGCCCAGAACTCTTGCGAGATGACCAAGAAGCCATCCGGGTTTTCAGCCAAGCTAACAAAGGAAGTGGAAATGATGTCATGAGCTCAGACAGGTGAACTCCTTGACCCAACACTGAACCTGAATGTCACGGTAGCCCGGGGTTACGCCACCGAACACAAATTCCGCCGTGCTGTCTATTCACCTCCCAATGGTGCCACCCGCCTGCTATGCTGAAAAACAAGTGGAGCGGACAGCGGAGGAAAAATCACAACACGAGAAGGAGGTTAAGAGGTGGCGAGGCTTTGTTCTGTGGACCCAGCACTGTCATTGGTGATGTGTCATGGTGATCCAGATGGGAGAAGACAGCAGAGCTATCAAGAGTGCTCACTACCACCCAACCCTCTTGCATTACATAACTCACAGCTTTAATAGGCGCCATTCAGAACATTAAACAATGCTCTGGGGAAGCTTTGTAGCCTTAGATGTTAAAACCAGTAGTCTATTACATAGAGCATGGTGTTTTACTCTTCTAAGTTCAGAGACGCAGGGCATTGTAAGCATTTCAAAGCTAAGGTCTGACTGCATTACCATCAGGTATGGCTGCCGTGCTCACGTTTATTTCATCTTTAAAAGCTGACATACCAAGACCAGGGATAATCCACTTAGACCTAAACAGGCAATGCTCTCTCTGCTGTAAACAGCCAGCTTCCATTTAAAGTACAAAATAGCTGCGTCTGAAATGTTCAAAACACACCTTACGTCTCTTGAGACAGTTCCAACTCAAACCCATCGGACATTGTTACATATTCCCTATACACGTCTTGGAAAAACCTTGCATCAGATTTTTTTTCTTAATATATAACAATACATTAAAATTAGTCCTCCCCAGCCATGTTCTGGGAAGGATTAAAAACTCTAGGACTAAAATAAGTCATTCAAATTGCCTTGTGAACTTCCATCAATATATGGTAATAGATCTGAAAATAAACCATATTACTCAGGTTACTTTTCTGAGATACCAGGTTTTTCCAAGACACCGACTACTGTTCACTTGACATTTCAAAATATGACTGAACAGTCATTATTAAGCAGACGCTCTTATCTGGAGGTAATGACAGTGAACACACACAGTCAATAAATTACGTGGCCACTGCAGCAAGGGAACCTGCAAACGTGTTAATGTTGTTAATGATGACTTACTGTGGTCTGGAGGCTTCTGCCTGGTCTGTCTGCAGTTTCTCCCCACCCTCCACCTCCATGGTGCAGTACACAATCCTGTTAGGAGCCACAGACTTCAGGCCCTGCACTTCCACTATCACTATCTGCAAACAGCAACAGAGAGGACATGGTCAGCTCCACACGTCTGCAGATAGAAAGGGCAGCATTAGACGCGGAGAGTCACTGGGTCGTGTAAATCCAGTCGAGGCACTATCACCGAATCCACAAACAGAGGGGACACTGTATAGAGAAACAAATGTTATACAGCTCGCACGGAGGCAGGCATGCACGCACCAAGCAAAATCAAAGAGCAGATGTGTTTAGTTTGTTTTGACTGGCCCCTTAGTACACACAATAACCCTCAAGCTGACCCCAGAATCGATAAACAACTAAAAGACTAATGTAAATAAATGTCAAATACACATTGATCTTTCCTTTAAAAGTCCACCAGAATTCAACAAATCATTTAATGTTGACTGTGAGCAACCTGAGAGTACCACTAAATAACTTTATGGGTAAGAGTACAAGATGATCTCTCGCGCACGCACACACGCACCTCCAGTGTGAAGGAGAGGACTACGTCGGACTTGGAGAGGAATTCGGTCTCCTCGCCCATGTCCAGGAAGGAGTTGTTCATGGAGGAGCGTTTGAGCTTCTGTTTGAAGTCAGGACCTCCCTTGGCCACAGGTAGGCTCTCCAGGTTGGCCATGAGCAGGTTGACAGACGAGCGCAGCTCCTCAATGTACATCGCCTCCATGTCTTTGGACACAAACTTGGGGTACTTCCTCTCCTGAGAGGGAGTCAGTGTTAGAGGAAGAGTTCTGCATCCACTATTTTGGCAGTTTATAACTACTGTAATCACAAATGTTATTTTAAGCTACAGGGTGCCTACCCAGCTTTAAAAAGGAAAACTCCACCCAAAAACTATCTTTAGCCATTTGTTTCATTAGTCCATTGTTGATATAGTCCCAAAATGTTTTGCATGTCAGCAATCACGTTTTCAAGATATATAACTTTAAAAATACAGAGCAAAACATTTCAGGACTATATCAAAAATGGACTAATTAAACAATTACCAAAACCTAGTTATTTGGGTGGAGTTTTCCTTTAACAAACCTGATTCAACTAATCATTGTGTAGTTGGTTAGTTGATTCAGGTGTGAAAGTACTTGTCTGGAAAGAAATGTTGCTCTCCATGACCAGAGCTGATGATCACTGTTCTTGGCTTACTTAGCCTTCTTATTTGGAGGGCTATAGGTGTAGGACTTACCTTGGCTACCCTCTCTGCCAGCTGTAGTCGTCCATCCAGCTCCCGGCGGATCTGGGCTGCCTGCTCGTCCACATTGTCCAGCTAAAAATCAAAGACCAGGAAGGAGAGTGTAAATCAAGCAATCAAGAGCTGAGGACCAGGAAGGAGAGGGTAAATCAACCAAGCAAGAGCTGAGGACCAGGAAGGAGAGTGTAAATCAACCAATCAAGAGCTGAGGACCAGGAAGGAGACTGTCAATCAACAGGTCATCTGACGCAGCACTCCATCACTCTCCTTCTTGGACAAATAGCCCTTACACAGCCTGGAGGTGTGTTGGGTCATTGTCCTGTTGAAAAACAAATGATAGTCCCACTAAGACCAAACCAGATGGGATGGTGTATCGCTGCAGAATGCTGTGGTAGCCATGCTGGTTAAGTGTGCCTTGAATTTTAAATAAATCACAGACAGTGTCACCAGCAAAGCACACCCACACCATAACAACTCCTCCTCCATGCTTTACGATGGGAAATACACATGCAGAGATCATCCGTTCACCCAAACTGCATCTCACAAAAACACGGCAGTTGGAACCAAAATTCTCAAATTTGGACTCCAGACCAAAGGACATATTTCCACCGGTCTAATGTCCATTGCTTGTGTTTCTTGGCCCAAGCAAGTCTCTTCTTATTATTGGTGTCCTTTAGTAGTGGTTTATTTGCAGCAATTCAACCATGAAGGCCTGATTCACACAGTCTCCTCTGAACAGTTGACGTTGAGATGTGTCTGTTACTTGAACTCTGTGAAGCATTTATTTGGGCTGCATTTTCTGATGCTGGTAACTCTAATGAACCTATCGTCTGCAGCAGAGGTAACTCTGGGTATTCCATTCCTGTGGTGGTCCTCATGAGAGCCAGTTTCATCATAGCGCTTGATGGTTTTTGCGACTTCACTTGAATAAACTTTCAAAGTTCTTGACATTTTCCGGATTGACTGACCTTCATGTCTTAAAGTAATGATGGACTGTCATTTCTCTTTACTTATTTGAGCTGTTCTTGCCATAATATGGACTTGGTCTTTTACCAAATAGGGCTATCTTCTGTATACCACCCTACCTTGTCACAACACAACTGATTGGCTCAAACACATTAAGAACAAAAGAAATTCCACAAATTAACTTTTAACAAGGCACACCTGTTAATTGAAATGCATTCCAGGTGACTACTTCATGAAGCTGGTTGAGAGAATGCCAAGAGTGTGCAAAGCTGTCATCAAGGCAAATGGTGGCTATTTGAAGAATCTCAAATATAAAATATATTTTGATTTGTTTAACGCTTTCTGGTTACTACATGATTCCATATGTGTTATTTCATAGTTTTGATGTCTTCACTATTATTCTACAATGTAGAAAATAGTAAAAATAAAGAAAAACCCTTGAATGAGTAGGTGTTCTAATACTTTTGACCAGTAGTGTAAGTTAGTGCTAAATATTTCAAAAACTTTAAGCATTGTATTTGGGACAAATAATTCACTAAACATCAACTAAATCTTGTAATGAATAATGTGGAAAATGAGCAAGTTAAGGTGACTAAACTGCTTGGAATAACCCTGGATGGTAACCTGTCATGGTCAAAACATGTCGATGCAACAGTAGCTAAGGTAAAGAGAAGTCTGTCCATAATAATGTGCTGCTCTGCCTTCTTAACAACACTATCAAGAAGGCAGGTCCTACTGTCCAGTCATGTGGTCAGGTACCACAAAGAAAAATTATAATAGGCTCACAACAGGTCAGCACGGCTGGCCCTTAAATGTACACGGAGAGCTAACATTAATAATAGGCATTTCAATCTCTCATGGCTCAAAGTACAGGAGAGATTGACTTCATCACTACTTGTTTTTGTAAGAAGTATTGACATGCTGAATGCGCCGAGCTAAACCACTAGCACACAGTTCGGACACCCATGCATACCCCACAAGACATGCCACCAGAGGTCTCTTCACAATTCCAAAGTACAGAGCAGACTATGGGAGGCACACAGTACTACATTGAGCCATGGCTATATGGAACCACATCAGGGAACTGATGCAAGCAGTAGAATCAGATTTATTTTAAAAGATAAAAATACAACAGCACACACACACAGGCATACGCATACACATGATAGCAAACACGTACATGGATATTGTATTGTAGATACAGTGAGGGAAAAAAGTATTTCATCCCCTGCTGATTTTGTAAGTTTGCCCACTGACAAAGACATGATCAGTCTATAATTTTAATGGTAGGTTTATTTGAAAAGTGAGAGACAGAATAACAACAAAAATCCAGAAAAACGCATGTCAAAAATGTTATAAATTGATTTTCATTTTAATGAGGGAAATAAGTATTTGACCCCTCTGCAAAACATGACTTAGTACTTGGTGGCAAAACCCTTGTTGGCAATCACAGAGGTCAGACGTTTCTTGTAGTTGGCCACCAGGTTTGCACACATCTCAAGAGGGATTTTGTCCCACTCCTTTTTGCAGATCTTCTCCAAGTCATTAATGTTTCGAGGCTGACGTTTGGCAACTCGAACCTTCAGCTCCCTCCACAGATCTTCTATGGGATTAAGGTGTGGAGACTGACTAGGCCACTCCAGGACCTTAATGTGCTTCTTCTTGAGCCACTCCTTTGTTGCCTTGGCCGTGTGTTTTGGGTCATTGTCATGCTGGAATAACAATCCACGACCCATTTTCAATGCCCTGGCTGAGGGAAGGAGGTTCTCACCCAAGATTTGACAGTACATGGCCCCGTCCATCGTCCCTTTGATGCAGTGAAGTTGTCCTGTCCCCTTAGCAGAAAAACACCCCCAAAGCATAATGTTTCCACCTCCATGTTTGACGGTGGGGATGGTGTTCTTGGGGTCATAGGCAGCATTCCTCCTCCTCCAAACACGGCGAGTTGAGTTGATGCCAAAGAGCTTGATTTTGGTCTCATCTGACCACAACACTTTCACCCAGTTCTCCTCTGAATCATTCAGATGTTCATTGGCAAACTTCAGACGGGCCTGTATATGTGCTTTCTTGAGCAGGGGGACCTTGCGGGCGGTGCAGGATTTCAGTCCTTCACGGCGTAGTGTGTTACCAATTGTTTTCTTGGTGACTATGGTCCCAGCTGCCTTGAGATCATTGACAAGATCCTCCCGTGTAGTTCTGGGCTGATTCCTCACCGTTCTCATGATCATTGCAACTCCACGAGGTGAGATCTTGCATGGAGCCCCAGGCCGAGGAAGATTGACAGTTATTTTGTGTTTCTTCCATTTGCGAATAATCGCACCAACTGTTGTCACCTTCTCACCAAGCTGCTTGGCGATGGTCTTGTAGCCCATTCCAGCCTTGTGTAGGTCTACAATCTTGTCCCTGACATCCTTGGAGAGCTCTTTGGTCTTGGCCATGGTGGGGAGTTTGGAATCTGATTGATTGATTGCTTCTGTGGACAGGTGTCTTTTATACAGGTAACAAACGGAGATTAGGAGCACTCCCTTTAAGAGTGTGCTCCTAATCTGAGCTCGTTACCTGTATAAAAGACACCTGGGAACCAGAAATCTTTCTGATTGAGAGGGGGTAAAATATTTATTTCCCTCATTAAAATGCAAATCAATTTATAACGTTTTTCTGGATTTTTGTGTTGTTATTCTGTCTCTCACTGTTCAAACAAACCTACCATTAAAATTATAGACTGATAATTTCTTTGTCAGTGGGCAAACTTACAAAATCAGCAGGGGATCAAATACTTTTTTCCCTCACTGTATGTGATAGTAGAGTAGTGGCCTGAGGGCACACACTTAATGTGTTGTGAAAAGTGTTATGAAATGTAATGTCATGTAATATTTTTTATTGTATATACAGTCGTGGTCAAAAGTTTTGAGAATGACACAAGTATTGGTCTTCACAAAGTTCGCTGCTTCAGTGTTTTTAGATATTTTTGTCAGATGTTACTATGGTATACTGAAGTATAATTACAAGCATTCCATTAGTGTCAAAGGCTTTTATTGACAATTGCATAAAGTTTATGCAAAGAGTCAATATTTGCAGTGTTGACCCTTCTTTTTCAAGACCTCTGCAATCCGCCCTGGCATGCTGTCAATTAACTTCTGGGCCACATCCTGACTGATGGCAGCCCATTCTTGCACAATCAATGCTTGGAGTTTGTTAGAATTTGTGGGTTTTTGTTTGTCCACCCGCCTCTTGAAGATTGACCACAGGTTCTCAATGGGATTAAGGTCTGGGGAGTTTCCTGGCCATGGACCCAAAATGTTGATGTTTTGTTCCCTGAGCCACTTATCACTTTTGCCTTATGGCAAGGTGTTCCATCATGCTGGAAAAGGCATTGTTTGTCACAAAACTGTTCTTGGATGGTTGGGAGAAGTTGCTCTCGGAGGATGTGTTGGTACCATTCTTTATTCATGGCTGTGTTCTTAGTTGTGAGTGAGCCCACTCCCTTGGCTGAGAAGCAACCCCACACATGAATGGTCTCAGGATGCTTTACTGCTGGCATGACACAGGACTGATGGTAGCGCTCACCTTGTCTTCTCCGCACAAGCTTTTTTCCGGATGCCCCAAACAACCGGAAAGGGGATTCATCAGAGAAAATTACTTTACCCCAGTCCTCAGCAGTCCAATCCCTGTACCCTTTGCACAATATCAGTCTGTCCCTGCTGTTTTTCCTGGAGAGAAGTGGCTTCCTCGCTGCCCTTCTTGACACTAGGCCATCCTCCAAAAGTCTACGCCTCACTGTGTGTGCAGATGCACTCACACCTGCCTGCTGCCATTCCTGAGCAAGCTCTGCACTGGTGGTGCCCCGATCCCGCAGCGGTCCTGGCGCTTGCTGGACTTTTTGGACACCCTGAAGCATTCTTCACAACAATTGAACCTCTCTCCTTGAAGTTCTTGATGATCCGATAAATGATTGATTTAGGTGCAATCTTACTAGCAGCAATATCCTTGCCTGTGAAGCCCTTTTTGTGCAAAGCAATGATGACGGAACGTGTTTCCTTGCAGGTAACCATGGTTAACAGAGGAAGAACAATGATTTCAAGCACCACCCTCCTTTTAAAGCTTCCAGA